TTGACAAATGAAAATTGTACATTATAAAATAACGAAAGACAGCAAAAAGCAAACTTTGAACGTAACAAACAAATAAATACCATTCAAATGAGACCCACCTAAAGAAGATTTATACCCACTAGCAAGCAAAATGCTAAGTTTTACGCGTTAATTTGGTCCAATATTATTATCCCAAAAACTTATGTATGTTGGGAGTTGAATAAATTACAGCTCATGACGAACTTGACGAGAGCAACATCAATGCCTTTTTATATTTTAAAATTGAATTTTTCAATGAAAATTATATTATCTCTTTATCTACAATGCCGGCAAATTTGACACAAAAATAAATCTAGGTGAAATCCAGTCATTTTACTGATCAGTTCGAATATGAATGGTATTTCCTGAATAGCTTAAGTCAACACGAAAAAGTTTAATTAATTCTAGCTGGAGCTATTTTCCGTCACTGCGTCGGCGTTATGGTCATTTTCATGTCATCCTCGAAGTAGTGGCGAAGGAAGAGACATTCAATTTTCACTTTTTCGAAGGAAACCGAGAGAAGATGACAAAATGAATTTAGGAAAATATATACAATATCTAATGCACATGTAAAAAGCGAGTCGAATCCTTTTTTTTTTAATGAATTTTACCCATTTTTTATGTATTATATTAAATAAAATTATCTTATATAATATGAAAAATATATTTCCTTTGATATTATTGCTATAACTTACCGCAACTTGCTTACCATTTTTGCCATTTGGACAATGAGAAATAAGCAGCATTACAGAGACTCGAAGGTTCCCCGTGCTTCCCTTCGATGTAGTAAAGTTAGGGAAATTTTGCGATTTTTTTTTTTTTTGGAATATAGTTTCTTATATACTTTCACTCGCTCGTGTACCAAGGAATTGAGTAGCTGGGGTCTCCGGTATCATATTTTGAAAGGGTTTAAAATCTTAATTTTGAAACTCTCGAATTGGATTAGTCAAAAAACGATAAACTGATTGAAATATCTCTAACAAAAAAAAAAAATTCTTATATTGTATGAGATAATTTATTTAATGCAACACATAAAAAAATAAATAACATCCACCAAGGAAAAAAGAAAAAAAAACTGAATCCCATCAATTTTTTTATGTAACGTATGAGACAATTTATTTTATACAACTTTGAGAAACTATATTTTTTTTTATTGTGGTTACGAAGTTTCTAATACTTCAACTAATCTAATTAATTTGAATCGCCAAATTTTTACTTTCAAATGACCTGTGATTTATCAGGTAAGAGACGTGCAAAAGTAACTATTGAATTTTCAACTCTCATTAAATTTATTTTTAAGTGAAAAGCTTAATAAAATGAAAGATTGTCCTAATAAATTTTGAAATAGGATATTATTTCTATCAAATAATGTTATAATCATAACTTAATCATTAATTTTTATCAATCAACGGTTATTATTTTCACAAATCAAATTCATTAATTAATTATTAATTCGAAATAAATAATAACTGTTGATTGATAAAAATCAACGATTAAGATATGCTAGTAATATTAATATTAATATCATTTAGTAATAACAATATCCTATCACTACAAGAAAATTGATATTTGGAGGCTGTTTAACTGAGACGGTTTCAATTAAACCGCCTCCAATTGATACATAGAGGCGATAATTTCGGCGGTTTAATTGATTCAAGGCGGTTCACATGAAACCGCCTCCAAATGTGTACTAGAGGCGGTTGAAATAACCACCTCTATTTACCATTTAGAGGCAGTTACATTAAAACCTCCTCTAATTGCTACCTTTAGAGGCGGTTATACCATAACCACCTCCAAATATATATTAGACGCAGTTAAAATAACTGCCCTTATTGACCATTTAGAGGCGGTTTAGATATAAGCGCCTCTAAATGTAGCAATTAGAGATGATTTTAATATAACCGCCTCTGAATGATAAATAAAGACGGTTTTATAACCTTCATTTTGAAGTCCCACATTCGATGACACTTGTTTCTCCTTCTCCATTCCCTTCTATATAACAATCCACACTAAGACACTCATATACAAAATTCAACAAGTTATTTATATTCCAACTGATAAAAATTATATTAACTTTTAAAAATAACAATTTTAATATTAAAAATTTAAAATTTAAATAATTTTAACTATTTAAAGGCGGTTACACGTTATTTGGAGGCAGTTAAAATAACCGTCTCAAATTATCTTTTGGAGGCGGTAGTGGTCGCAATTAAAATAACCGCCTCAGAATATGATTTGGAGGCGGTTAGAATACCGCCTTAGATTGTCATGTAGATGCGGTCATTCCAGCGATTTTTCAAAACTCCTGTATTTTGCCTCGCGACGGTGATAAACGATACGGTTTATGAACCACCGAACCAGGCATTTAAAAACGGTTTGAACCGCCTCAAAATACAAATATAACCGCCTCTAAAAATCAATTTTCTTGTAGTGATCCCTTAAATTTTAAGTGTAATATATGTTGCATCTCTCAACCATGATTTATAGTGTTGTTTATAAAAAAAAATTATTAATAACCTTGATAGTGCTTCGATCATATTATTTGCACTAACTCTTGTCAACACCAAGTATTAAAGTCCCATGTTATAATTATGTTAATAAAAAGAATGCAAATAATCGATTCAACTTAAAATCTTAAGATTTTAGATTAGGCGATTTTATATCTTTCTAACACATTCACTTACGCAAGAGCTTAAGCTCAAAAGTGAAGGACTGTGATGCTTTAGTTCTTATACTATGTAAAGTGTCAATTTAATTCAAAAGTTAAGCTAGTGGGTAAGGCTAATTTTATATTTATCTAATTCACCCTCTCATACAAAGTTCACTAGGTTTGAAAGATGAACAATGCACAGGCTTATTTACTTGTGCTAAGAAACATCCACAATACTTAATTATTTATTAATTTAATGAGGGCGATGTTGATTGAACTTGTAACTTTAAAGTCACGAAGGTTCTGATACTGTGTAAAAAATCAATTCAACCCAAAATCTTAAGATTTTGAATGAGATTATATTAATTATTTTATATCTATGCCAATATAACATTTTCACCAAGATTCAGAAGCTTAAATATTTAAAAAATAATAAAAAAATAGCCACAATAAAAGTACATCTCAAACCTGAAATATCAGACGACAGTACAAAACCACAAAACGAGAGAACCTAATAGCGACAAGTGATGACAGGAACAGTTGCAAATATGCAATATCATGAAGTTGGGCCATTCCAGCCCAGAAAATGTGGAGACGAAGTTGGGCCTGAGCACGAATTACATATCTTCAAATATATTGAATGCTATTGGTTTGTTATGCTTTCTTTTGTAAACTTAATTCCAGATTCTCCTCCAAATAAGTGTGAGATTGCAGTTCCAAGAATTTCAAATGGCTCATTATTCGTTTTGGTATAATAGGTCCAACATGCTATGTGCGCAGGTTTTGGAACTTCCCTATAGTTTGGATTTATCATATAAGGTAAGGTCTTTTACTTTCATTTTCATGACAGCCTAGCAGAACATGAAATGGTTTAGTTCTACCTAGAGAAAAACTTACACACCTGACTTTCCAGTTTCCACTAAACAATTATTGGCCCTGATTTTCCAATTCTATGGGGAAGAAAAAGAAAAAATGTGTTTTCTCTTTTTATTATCTTGTATATCCTGTTCTAGACTCAACAGTATACACATTCAAACAAGGAAATAAACTACCGTGACTCAGAGCCCCCTCATAACTGGAATCCACATCTTTCTCACATCCATTGACTACATTGTACCTTTATAATTGAATTATACCCGAGTCAATATTTTGTGGGGTACATTATTATTATTATAATAATATGGATTGATTTAAAATTACAAGTCACCGTTATAAGAGAAATGTTAGTTGCGTTTACTTTTTGAGCAAAGGCATTACACCAACTATTCAGGGAATAAATCTTTAGTATAATTGTTATTTTATTTTGTAACATGTGCATAAAAAATAGGAAAAAGTTCACCAATATTTCGGTGATTTGATATAGTGGTTTGAGTAGGCTGTATTAGGTTATGTATTTAATTCTGACTTGTATCAACAGCAACAAAAATATTCCTTTGTCAGATTTTGTGATATTTTTATTTACATGTCATAAAATGAATGACAGATACACTAAATCAGTTGCACTAAAGATTAATTCATAACAAAAATGGGAGGAAAAAATAATTAAAGGTAATAATCAACCTAAAAGATTTCTGTACTGCACTTTTTTCTTTGCATTATCATTCCTCCCATTTTGGAGTTTTATATGTTTACATCAACATGCTCATCCCGATTTTCCAACTTAGTCATACTTTTTGTAGAGTACAAAAAATAAATAAAAAATAAAAAGATGATTACAGAAAATTTCAAAACAGAAACAACACAAACTGTTTAAGAAAAATAGATCTTCATCATTAATATTTGTATTTCATATTCACTTGTGTAAAACATTTCAATGGGACATGCTACAGCTAGATTGAGAGTATAACTCGGCCTTTATGCACTGTAACCTTTTTTTTTTAATTTGTTAATTTAAAAAAATAGTACTAATCTCGAAAATATTTAACAACCAATTATGCACTGGACCGCTGAATAGCATCATGCCATTTAAATTTGGCAGAAGTCAGAAATAAACAATGAATCCGTTGAAGTGATTGGCCAATCGAAAGAATAGTCCATAGATATTAACAAAGAACATTTATCAATATTAATAACCTCTGTATTTAAGGCTATGACTATGATTGATTACACGGTCCCTACACAACTGTATCAAAAGCAGAAAGGCTCACAGCTAAGCACAATCACACCGACAAATAGAAAAAAGATCGTAGAGAAAGATGTTCAAATAAATTTTTCTTGTTTCCATATAAAAATTTACAACTTGAAAATTTCATTCTAAGCCTAAACTCCACTACTACCCCATTCCTTAAAACATTTCATGCAAGCAGCAACGATTTGCTGCAATGGAAAAGCATTAATCAAAAGTTTCCCATTTTGTTGTTACTACAACTGAGTCAGAAGAAGCATTTCCCTGTGTCCCCTTCATGTGCTGCTTTTGAACACCAGAATGCACCTTGCTCTCCCGTGGCATCATGTTATCTTCATTTTTAAGGGGAATTGAGTTTGGCCTTGGAATCTTCAACATATCTAGAGTCTCAATGTGCTTCTGAATTCTCCTTACCTTCACATAAATTTTTCCAAAACGTACAACGTAAATGACATAAAATATCAATTGATATATTGCAGTTTTGAAAATCAAGAGTTACCTGCTCTCTTCTCTGCAATTTAAGTTCACCTTCAACGTAATTTTCATCAAATGTAATCAACATTCTCATCAAATTTTCTGTCAAACTCTCTACATCCAACTCTGCTATAATCTCACCTTTAGAAGCACCAACCTCCAAAGCTGCAACCTACACAATTTCATTGAATGAAAGCCATTTTACAATGTGGAAATTATAAGTGAAACTCTACATGTTATTTGTAAAACTAGATACCTTCTTGGCGAGTTTGTCAACCTCCGAGTTGATTTCCGTTAAGGATTTTGAAGTCTTTTCCTTTTTTGCAATTTTTAACTTCTCGAGTGTCCTTCTTTCTCTACTCTCAATGTCCTCAAGCAGCACCAATTTTGATCCATCTTTGACTCTCTCAACATCAAGATATGATTTTGAATCTCTCTCTTTTTTCTTGAAAATCAACTTCTGATCCTGAGCATGTAATCCCGTAGGTTCTGTCAACATTTTCTTCAATTCCCCTAGCACCCCAAAGAACCATATTCAAAAAATAGATCAACTTATAATCAAAATAATCTCTGAAAAAAAAAAAAAAAAACCACAGAGATAGGAATTTCTAAAGCTGCATGTACCAAAACTTGCATGAGAACTGATACGAATTTCGTGATAAGATGAACCATACTTGACTTTAACTTTGATGGTGGACACAGATGTAGAATTTTGATTCACATCTGAATTACGCTTTTGCACAAGCATTCCTCCTGGCCTTAATTCCCATTCAGAAACATTTGTGCTGCCATGACCACTATTGTCACTATTTTTGCCCCTTGAAAACATGATGTTGAGCTTTGACTTTGTTGTTGTTCCTTTGTGTGTCGTCTTTGATTGCATTCCAAGTTTTGTGGGGGTAATGGAAGAATGTGCTCCTATGTTTTTCAGAGCAAAAAGGGCATCTGGGAGGAAAACCGAGAAAGAAAAAAGAACCTTGACTTGCCCAAAAGCCTCTTCTTCATGATGAAGGGCAATGTAAGAAAAAAATATGGAAGAATAAAAAAAAAGACAAAGTCCAAGGAAGTAAGATTAGTATAATTTAGAGGGATGCTAAAGCTTCAACCTTGAACTTTGTGGTGTCAGCAAAAACTAGCAGTCGGTGGAAAAAAAAAAAGGAATGGTCCTAACATTAAGTGCCAGAATTTGAAGAGAAGAAACAAGGGATATATAAAGAGGGAAAAGGTAAAATCAGACTTGGTAACGTGCAAGAAGAGACAAGGGATTATACTACAAAGTCTTTTGTCAAATTTACAGTTTTATATTGTTTTGGAGATAAAAAGAATGAAGAAATTAATGAGAAGATAAGGATAAATACATAGTTGTCATGGCAGAAGTAACTTAAAGAGGAAGAGAAAAAAAAAAGCGAAGAATTGCAGTTTGTTGCTTGAATTGGAAAACCAGAATGCTATGATCACTGAGAGGTAAAAAAAAAAAAAGGAGGAAAGGAACAGTGAAAAAAGCTGCAGCAAAATCTGGAGCCAGTTGGCAATTGTATATTTGCTTGATCGTTGAAGATTTTATCTAAATATAAGAATATTCCTATTCAGTAATAATCAGTAATTAATGAGCAGTATATACTCAAATCACAGTTACGATTAAATGCCTCATGGTTTTCTACAAATTACACTCAATTTATGATTACAACGTTTCTTTTGATGTCATTGTGAATGTGATTATCCCCACAGTTTGGGCGCTGAAAGCTGTAATTAAATGCCAGGCTATTAATTGCATGTTTGTTTTACCATTCGAAATGTCAAAATTATGGTTTAACAAAAATTACAAAGGGAAATACTTTTGTAGAAAAATAGTTACATCATGTTGTAAAAATAAAATTACAAATGGAACCCACAGGTAAGAGGAGAAATAAAAAAAAAAAATGATGGGTCCACCCTTCTTCTGTGTATGTAAGAAAATTGTTTCTCTCATGTAAAATATAAGTATATAACCAATTAGAAAAGACTAACTTTTACCCTAACCAGATTTTATAATCATAATTTAAAACTTTCCAAGTAGAAAACAAACCAGGCACTATAACTGCTAGCTTAATTACTGTTTGTAACGGACTAGACGCCTGTGATCTTTTGTTAATTAACAATCTTGAAAGTGTAATTAAAGTTGCACTTGGAAGTGATAGTATTTCTGCAGGTTTTGTCAGTTTTAATACAGGTGCATTTCTGAGAATTTGAAATGCTTGAATAGGCCTATGATAGGCAGTGCCTATCCAAAAATTTCTCAGTAAAATTACACCCTTATTTTCTGGCCCACATAGCAGGCATCAGTTTTGGACAAGAGACAACAAATTAACTTGCAGTGGTTTGAGAACTAAATAGTACAGTTATGCTATCATACATTAGAGTTCATGCGTCTTTGTCTGTAACAAAGATTTGAAAAATAGACCTGCTTGCAGAAATGGATAAGAGTCCAGAGCTAACAGAGCACATAAATAACAGAAATACAAGATGTTTCTAACATTTTCTTTAATAACTGCTTTTATCGACCCGCCAAGAAGATGTTTTTAACCACAGAAATACAATTGAATGCCAAAATCGAAAGTATAAAACAGCTCAACCATTTTCAAGACTGAAGGAGCTGCAACAAAACATTGAAAACCTGGGGCAGAACCCGTTGAAAGTGGAAACCAATTCTCTCCCATTATCTTAATCTGATTTCATAAACTCCAGAGAGAATAAACAGCATTGTCTGCCTCACTGTTCCTTCCGAGCTTTAGATCTGACAGGCTTTCCAGGTTTGATTACTTTACCAAGAAGAATCACAACAACAGGAACAATAGTTCCAATATAATACACGCTTCCATATGAGGTGATAGTTTCATGCAGACTTAATACCTATTCAGACACAATCAAAGAAACGATAGAATCTTGTAAAAATCTTTGAATTCTGTATTTGCATGTGTAAGACTGAGCATACAAATTGGACGGACGTGTGTGTAATGTGTTTGTATGTGTGAAGGAAAGAGAGAGAAAGAGAACCAACCATGAAACCAACACTAGAGTAATTTAGAACCAAAAGTGTATAAGTGAAATTCATAAACACCAACGCACTAGCCATTGTTGGAGGCACGGCTTGCTGCCATCTGTAAATGACTGTTTGAAAAGAAACACAGCAACACCAGTTAACTAACTGAAGAAAGTACAGCAAAGGAACGTAATTCAATAATTTACCTCTGGAACCAGCAATCATCAATGCTGATTGAACAAAGAATATGATGTATCCAGGATATAATCCCTGCAATAATAACGTCAAAATGTTAAAAGAAAAAATTTGATATGTCATGAAAGCCTTCCACATAAAGCATGGATTCAATAGTATAAAATAGCAGAACAGCAAAGTTACTTCATGCAAAACCTTCATCAGCTTGCTAAATTGGATAATGTTTTTTTGTTGAATTAAAAATACCGGAAGAAGTTAACAGATGTATGTATACCTTACATCAACCATCAAAAAGTGCGTAACTGTGTGTAATGATTAATTGTCTAATTATTAGTTATTCCTGAGAAACTACACATACAATTTAATGATGGTGAGTAAGCTTGAAACAATAACATTGCAGATACCAGTTAGAGTACTGTTAGTGTTGGATTCTGAATTAAAATCCCAAGGATTAAGGGATTGGATTAATCCAGAAATCATGGGATTATGAGCTTCCGACCACGGGACTGGCTCTGCAAATCTATTTTCTTCCTATAAAAGGTGTGATGATGAGATAAAATCTTTTCTTTATGTTCCTAAATTGAAATCTAATTTGATTTCAGTTTGCAAACCATCCAAGGATCAAAATTCTGCAGTATTTTTTCTCCTACTTCTTGTGAATTCCAGGATTTGACTTCGGGATGATGATTGGTAATGCTAAGGAACGAAGTGGTCTTTATTATTTCCTTGGTTCTTCAAAACCTCCAACACAATCAAAGTTTTACATATCTAATGTCTCGGACTATGATGTAATGCTTTGGCATAAACATTCAGGTCATCCTAGTTTCAATTATCACAAGTCCCTGAACCCAAAGTTATTTATCAATAAATGTTTCTTTTTTCCAATGAGAAAACTGTAAATGTGCAAAACAATCTGGGAAAAATCATCCTGAGCACTCTTATCAAAATTCAAAACCTTTTCACCTCATTCATAGTGACCTATGGGGTCCTGCTTGAATTTCTAATTTTAGTGGATAAAGATGGTTCATTACATTTATTGATCACACACGAATATGTTAAACCTATCCTATGAAAGACAAATCTGAGACAAGAGCCATATTCAAATAATTTTGCAACCTTTCAGATTCTTTAAACTGACAATGGCAAAAAAAAAAAAATTCTCATGAACTTGCAAATTACTTTGTTGAGTGATGGAACCCAGAAATTCACAGCAAGAAAACAACAATTAACAGTAAAATAGCACTTCTATTAACAACAATACAAGAAATACAACCATGAAAATACAGAAAAGATAAACCAAAAAAGACCTCACTCACTCTAAAGCCAAATACCTAGGCCAAAGAGATCCCAAGAGATCCTTTCCAAAACCCCACTCCAATATTCTGAATACATGAATATCTCACACTCCCACACACCCTCCTTATATTCTATTATTTAGGAATATTCTAGAATAGTTTCCCTAACAAACTAGCTAACTAACTAATCTTGCATTGCTAAACTTGGGCCCACTAATCCTAGCCCATCAATACTCCCCATTCAAAATTCACCTTGTCCTCAAGGTGAGGAAGATGATAGGGGATGTAATTGAACATCCACCAGGGTCCCATTGCTTAAAGCTTCTTAACCCCGTTGTCACTCCATTACCACTGAGGTCAGCCAGCTTCTTTGCAGTAGCCTTTGTCCCAACAGCAAACGTGTCAAACTCAAACACTACCCTTGGTCCATTCCATATGATGGTTTTGGGGGTATCCAATGCCTCACTAAATGTTTTAACCAAATCTGGATCAATATCCAATCTCATCTAGCCATCAGGGATAGCATATGCTGGCACGATCTTGTTGTTTGCATCAGGAGCATATTTGTCCGCAATCACCATGTCACTTGGTAACAAGAGAGACACCCATTTTGCCTAGGCTATTGCAAGTAATGACGTGGCAAGATCCAACATCGGAGCCCCATGCCTGTCACCACCCACGATACTATGCACACTCAAACGTATATCCCAGTTTTCCTCACCAGCCATTTGCTTACCCGCGTCGTCCCCTCCGCTCTCTCCCTCGACCCCAACGCCTAACAACATGTCGTGTAGTTGTGGGTTGCTACACACATGACCCGCAGAGAAAGGAGCATCACATCAGAAGCATAGATTGTGTCGTCGACGGCCAGTAGTCGTTTCCTCCGCTGTTAATCGCCAATATCTCGCACCTCCTTGGTCATCGTTGCTTCTGTTGGTAATGGAGCCTCCTTGTGTCAAATCTTGGCTTTTCACAGTCGCTATGTGCCTTAGGTTGGGACAGAATTCATTGGGTTGCTGTTGAGCCCCATTGGTTTTGATATTACCACTTGAATTGGGCCGGCAGTGATAAGTGTTTGGCCCATTTCGTGAACTAGAGCCCAATTCGAGAATTCCTTCTCCATTTGTGTTATTGGAATGAGCTGTAATATATTATCCTGATCCAGGCCCACTATCATTCAACCCACTACAGCTCACACTATTCACCATCTTCCCAGCAACGATTTCTTTCTATTCGTTTCTTTCATGCTTTTCTTCCTCACTTTGAGATAACGACATAATGCCCTCCATATTTGCTGTTGAATGTGACCAGATTTTAGCACGAATCTCCGCCTTCATCTTTTCCTCACGCTTTTCTTCTTGTTCTTCTTCAACCTCTGCCTCTTGCTTTTCTTCCTTAATTTCTTTTGTTCCTTTTTCGTACGCCTTTACCCCTACACCTTCCGCTCCATTTTTTTCCTTCCGATTAGTCAAGAATGTCGTCTGAACTTCGTATGGTTTCTCGTGAACAGAGATGTGGAACCTTTTTAGGACTGCAGAGCGAAGTCCCTCCCACGTGATTGTCGGATTTCTTGGTTTCCACCATTGGAACCACCCCTTGGCCCTTCCCTCAAAACAACTTGAAGCTTTCTCCACTTGTTTTTCAATAGGGATTTGGTTCACCCTAAGATAATGCTCCGCCTGAAAAATCCATCCATATGGATATTCTCCGGTAAAGTATGGCACCTCCTCCCTTTGTTTCATTGTTGCCTCCGGAACCCTCTCTCCGCTATCACCACCGTGAGCAACAACTCTATTTTCAGTAATTGATCTCCTTTTCCATGGGTCCACTCGATTAATGAGTGTCATTATCGTCTCTCTCAATTGACGAATAGAGACTTCCATTTCAACCATCCTTTCCTCCACACCATACAAGCTCTTCTCGACCTTCGTCAATCTGTGTTCCATTTTTTTTTTTCTTCTTCTTCTTCAGATCTGTGGATCGAAGAGCACTCCCAGGATTGTAGTGCTTTGATACCAAATTGATGGAACCCAGAAATTCACAGCAAGAATAACAACAATTAACAGTAAAATAACACTTCTATTAACAACAATACAGGAAATACAACCATGAAAATACAGAAAAGATAAACCAAAAAAGACCTCACTCACTCTAAAGCCAAATACCTAGGCCAAAGAGATCCCAAGAGATCCTTTCCAAAACCCCACTCCAATATTCTGAATACATGAATATCTCACACTCCCACACCCCCTCCTTATATCCTATTATTTAGGAATATTCTGGAATAGTTTCCCTAGCAAACTAGCTAACTAACTAATCTTGCATTGCTAAACTTGGGCCCACTAATCCTAGCCCATCATTGAGCAAGGCATATTCCATCAAAGCACTTGTGTTTACACTCCACAGCAAAATGGTATAACTGAAAGAAAAAGCTGTCATACTCTTGAAGTTGCTTGTTCCCTAATATTTTCAAGTCATTTATTAAATTCCTTTTCAGGAGCTGTTTTAACCTCTACAAATCATATCAATAAGCTTTCCTCCAAAACTCTTAAATTTCAGACCCACTAAGTTTCTTAATAAAATCTTTTCCCCATATCTGACTCTGAGTTCCTTCCCCCTAAAGTCATTGGGTGTACTGTGTTTGTTCATATGTCTAGTTCACTCAAGGCAAACTTGACCCCGTAGCAATTAAGTGCATCTTTTTTGGTTACTCTCCTACCCTAGAAGGATGTAAGTGCTATTGTCCTTCGACCAAAAAAATTCATAACTTCTATGACACCACCTTCTTTCCCAATGTTTCACTTCCGAGGGAGAATTCTAGTGAAGAGAAACATTGGGATCCATCCATGCCTCTTCATATCTCACTTCTCATTTCATTTCAAGACAAACCCACCATTCAATCAAGACCCTAAATGCAAATAGTTTATAACTCAAGCAGAAGAACTTATGAAACAAACTGCAGGGTGAACCTCAGGTTTACTCTAGAAGACCATGAGTTCCTCAAAAATCCAACTGTGCCAAATCTTGAGGGAGACACATAGGTTGATGAAGGTAATTACACAGTGAATGATATTGATGCTATTGTTGATGATCTTGATGTTCCTATTGCTATTAGAAAGGGAGTTAGGTCATGTACTCAACATCCCATATCCAATCATCTAACTTATTCTAAGCTGTCACCAAAGTACAAGGCTTTCATCACAAAGATTGATCAAATGAAGGTTCCCAAAAAATGTTCATGACACTCTTCAAGATCCGAAATAGAGGGATGTTGTAATGGAGGAAATGAATGCTTTAAATGAAAACAAAGCATGGGATGTAGTGAATCTTCCTTGAGGAAAGAAAGTGGTAGGATGTAAATTGATAAACATACATCGATACAAGGCAAGGTTGATAGCTCAAGGGTATACTCAAACCTATGGTATTGACTATGAAGAAAAGAAACTTCCGCTCCATTAGCCAAATTAATCTCTATCAAAGTCCTCATCTCTCTTGTTGCAACTCCTGATTGGGAATTGCACCAAATTGAAGTGAAGAATGGTTTCCTAAATTGAAACTTGCTTATATGAAGCCCACTCCAGGCTTTGAAGAAAATAAATCAGGTAAGGTGTGCAGGTTGAGGAAATCTTTATATGGATCAAGCAGTCTCTGGTTCATCAAATTTGGCTTGGCTATGAAACAGTTTGGGCACGCACAAGGACTGGCAGATCATACCCTCTTTGTTAAACAAGCTAAAAATAGAAAAAAAAAGTAGTACTTATAGTGAGTACTACAGATGACACTCAACGGATTAAAAGGCTTCAGGCAGAATTTAAGGTAAAAAATCTTGGACACAAAATACTTTCAATGTTGGGTTCCATTTGCAAGGTATGAGACTTAGAGTCCCACATTAGTTGTATGGGCAACTAATGTGGGGTTTATAAAGTCTTGGGCACTCCCACCCTTTGAGCTAGCTTTTGGGGTGGTGCATCCCAAGGTTCTTATCAAATGGTATCAGAGCATCCATCACATGGAGTTGTGCGTGGGGGCACGCACTAGGGAAGCGTGGTGGAATGTTGGGTTCCATTTGCAAGGTATGGGACTTGGAGTCCCACATTGGTTGTATGGGCAACTAATGTGGGATTTATAAAACCTTGGACAATCTCACCCTTTGAGCTAGCTTTTGGGGTGGTGCATCACAAGGTTCTTATCACATGGTATAAAATGTTGGCACCCAGCAAATCATTCACAAATGACTCCAAAATATTACTATTAATTCAAATATTCTCTGGAGACAAGCTCCTTTACATAACCAGCAATTAACCAGAACAAGCAACAACAGACCTCATAACTCGTAATACAGAACTCAACAAATAAATGAAGACACAAACAAATAACAATGCAGAAATCATTCGCATCTAATGATAAAAAGACCTCATACCCTGCTTCTAAGCACCACGCTTATTAGCCACCACATTCCACAACATGAATATTCTCCCCTCCCCACGTTCTCTTTCCATCCTCTTATATCAGTTTGGCCCCACCAGAATTCTCTTCACACGCACTCCCCATTTCCCCTTCACCATTTATTGCTTGCCACGTGGCCTCACTCATAACAAACTGCCCCTCTTTCATTTGCATTTACTAATAGTTGGTTATTCTCCAACTTTTGGGCCTTCCTTTTCCTCATATAGATCCTTTCAAATGGTTGTAAGGGCCCATCACTTGGGATGGAGATAGCAAGGAGCAAGAAAGGCATTTTCATTTCCCAAAGGAAATATACTCTTTATCAACTAAAGGAGACTGGAAAACTTTGGTGCAAGGCTGCTGGAACTCCTCTAGACAGAAATTGGAATTCATAAAATGAATGAAAAAATCCTCTTTATGGCGAGGGAATCCCACCAGGACTTCATAGGGAAGTTGATTTCCCTGTCTTTCACTAGACCTCTAGACCTAACATTGCTTACAATGTTAGCGTGAAGACTCAGTTCATGTATTTTACTACTAAGAGATACTTAGATGCTATTAATCAGATCATTTGCTACCTCAAAAGGGTCTTCCGACAAAGGAGTATTGTTCCAAAAAAATAGTAACCAAGGATTGAGTGCTACATAGATGCAAATTGGGAAGGCTCAATAGCATACGCAAAGTCAATTATTGGGTATTGCAAAAAAGTGTGGGGAGATTTTGTGACTTGGAGAAGCAAAAAACAATCTGTGGTCTGCAAGAAGTACGGCTGAGGCATACGCATAATACAAGGAAATCGTTCAAGAAGTTTGAGAACTGATTTGGATAAGTAGGTTACTACAAGACCTATTTATTCCACTTGAAGGTCTTACGAAAACATACAGTGATAGCAAATCAGCTATTAGAATAGTTCATAATCCTCTAATACGATATGATGAAGCATGTGAGAATTGATAGAAATTTCATCAAATGAGAAATTGAAAATGGAATTTTCAACCTACATTGTGTCAACCAAGTCACAAGAAGTTGATATGTTTACAAAAACCTTGCTGAAGAAAGAATTTGATTTGAATGTTAGCAAGCTGGAATGATCGAAATCTATTCACCGGCTTGAGGGACTCCAAACTAATATCCCAAGGATTAAGGGATTGGATTAATCCTGAAATCATAGGATTATTAGCAGTAAATTTATTCCATTTTCTATTTTTGGTAGTTTACTGTCTATAGGCTGAAGTTTTGGTGATGTTATTCGTTTTTTAATTCCTTTTTTCTCTCCCAACAGCATGCTATTCTAGTGTATATATTGTAACCTTTTATTCTGAACAAAAATAACAGAGAGTAATTCTCAGTGCCTCTATGTTCAATTAGAAAAAACAATCAATTTAAAATGCAGCAAAAATTTTACTCACATGCCAAATAGCACTGACGGTTTGTGTGGCAAGTAGCTGAAAGAAACCCGGTTTCTTCCCATTCTGAATAAGCCTTTCGTAAACATCTAGCAAAACAAGAACAATAACAACGTTACTACTTCAAACTTCATAGTCAACCCATATGAATGAAAGGTAAATCGGTAATCTACATTAAATTTCAATTTTGCAACTTGCCTAGTTTACAGGGTAAGAAGAAGGGAAAAAATGACAATCCAGTGTGGGTTTGCTTTATCATTTTTTTTGGTTCAGGTTTGATGGCTTGATCATGCTATAATAATTGTTAGAACTCAAGAAGAGAGATTATTTTGATATGATCAAACAAATCCTTGATACAGACTAATTAAAGAACCACAGAGGTAACCACCTAAAAAATATTATAGCCAAATTGTTACCAGAACTTGAAACTTATCCAGCTAGGACCCTAAATAAAATTTCATGCCTAAAATAGAAAGATGTCTATATTCTATTTAGATCTCTAAAGAAAAGCATCCAAACTCAACAGCAAGAAACTCACAATGACGAAGCCAGGTGCTGACTTGTATATTCCACACAGTTGGAATCACAACTGCACTCTTTGCAAGCTCAACACCTAATATATCTACATTTTTGGCCCGGTCCCAGCGCGGCTTTGGTGGAGATGAATCAGTCCAGCCACTGAAACCCAGGCCAGAGATGATAATAGAAGCTTCTGAAATTGACCAAATGAAATAATATTTCCAGCGTGCCGTAAAACCGGACATATACTGGTAACCCAACTTTTTCCAGAATCCCCATTCATGGTATACAGGATCAGTAAACCTGGACAGAGGAAAATAAGGCACAAGGTATAAATACAAGGCCATGCAAAAACCAGCTTGGAGAAGAGCTCGAATGGTTGCCCCAAGAGGTGATGGTGGTGGTCTTTTAGCTTCAGAGCTCCAAATCTGCAAATAATAATAAAAGACTTAAAGATTGAAATAGTAAATATGGTAAAAGTTATTTATGAGCATAAAAAAGAGAAACTGAAACTGCTACTGACATTTTTGTACCCCGCTGTGTGTTTATTTATCAATTATTATTAATCAAAACCCAAATAAACATACCCCCTTTCTTTCTGTCCAATCAAGATAATCCTTCATTTCATAAACTGGACCAGCAAAGTGACTCCCACAGCATAGACAGTAACCAATATACTCAATTGGCGAAGGCAAATTGATCAACCGGTATTTCTTCTGAGCCTCACGCAAATCATCCTTTTTCAACAATCCATCATTATAATTAATCGAGCACGAGATGACCTTCAGTGTCAAAACCATTAAAGCCCCTAATACCAATTCAATACCACAATCAATAATCCACCCACCACCACAAATAACCAGAACAAGAAAGTTAATGCCTTAAATAATAATAATAATAATAATAATAATAATAATAAAAATAATAAAAATTGAAAAAAACAATGAATTAGCACTCACCAGTGGCATCGATGCCACCTTCCTTCCATGCATCTCCACTCATGTAATACACATGGCTACATACAAAAACGCACACCAACGGTAAAGAAAAAAAAAAAGTGGCACAATTGAATCGTAACCCTGCATGCATAAAGAGATAGATAGATTAATTATACCAGCCAATGAGGTAGCCGAATCCCAAGAAGAAAGTGAGGATCCCACATCGTTGGCGAAAGAGAAGCATGGAAGCGTAGCCGAGTAACATGGGAACTAAAAAATGGAGGTTGGAAGAGAAGCCAAAGGAGAGGTAAGAGAGAAAAGCACCGACGGCGGCGGAGTAGAGGTGTTTGGGGAGGCGACCGGGAACGAACCGCCATAGGAAGCTGAAGGGAATGGTGGCGACGAAACAGAGAAGGAACCGAAGAACGGGGACTGATACCCCAATTGAAGCAGCCATGGAATCCAATTGAAGCTCCATGGCCAAGGCTATGGTTCGATTGAAAACGTTGGTGTCTCTGTGTGTGTGGATGTGAGTTCGATCGAGGTTCGTTGCCTTCAAAGGTTGAAAACGAACCTTTGAACTTGTTAACAAGTTTCGTGAAATGACGTGGATGCCCTCACCACACCACCTACTTAAGGCTTCCACTTAATAAATATTAAGGCTTTTTACTGCTCTGACCGCACGAATCTTCCTTCGAATGTTTCTCAGGAACTCCGTCAACTTAATTAAGGTTTTTTTTTTTTCTGAATTGTTCTGTTGCAGATAGTACAACATTTAAATGCAAAGAGATCAATGCTGATTTTAACTGATATGATCATTGATTGGAACTTTTTTAAAATTTTGAATTTTAATTGATATTCAATTTATAATATTTTTTACTAAAATTCTTTAGGAGGTGTATTGGATTAGAATTTTAAAATATTTTTATTGAGATAAAAAATCTTATAGATTTTTAAAGATTATTTAGAATCGGAGGGATTTTTAAAGATTTTTTCAAAAGACTATTTTTACAATCAAGATTTTATAAGATTGAATTTTAAAAGATTTTAATAAAATTTATAAGACTTGAAAGGATAATATGGATTAATAAGATTTTAAAAAATCATATGAATTTTTAACAAACATTCAAGATTACAAGAGTTGATAAAAAATAACAAAGAAATACAATGATATTAATAAAAAAAATAAAACCTAATATAATTTTCTCAATCAGTAAAATATAATATAATTTTTAACAAACATTCAAAATTATTAAGCAACAACTCTTTACATATCTAAAGTTATACTAGTCCTCCACGCATTGATTTGATCAATGGGTTAAAAATTATCTTCTCCATTTGGCATCAGAGCTATGCATATATGATTATAAGATCCAATCTTTTTATTTATTAAAATAATTCTAAATTTGTATATAGAACCTAAAGTTCATGATAAAATTTCGTTTGGAAATTTTTGCAATTGATCTTGGAAATCTTGGGGTTTTTATTCTACGTGATGAGAGTTTTCTAACTATATATCATATGCATGTTTTCATTGAGTATTCTAAAAAAATTTCGAATCTGAATTTTTAGATTTTATTACATGAAAGTTTAGAAAAATTCTCAAATTATTTTCAATCGATACATTAAAACCTTAAATTGTTTTGGGGCTTTTGAAAAACAAGTCTTTAATTATCTATTGACACAAAAATTGTTTGAAATCATTTTCTATAGCTAAAGAATTTCGTTCATAAATATATTATTACGAAATATAGGGTTCATATTAGAGCTGGCAAAAAGGGCCGAGCCCCCCGCCAAACGGGGCGGGGCGGGCTGAGTTTCTCAAACCTGCTGCCTGCCAAGCCTGCCAGCCCGCCCGGGCTAATCTTTTTTTTAATTTTTAGTGTAGAATGTCACGTGCTTGGCGGGCAGCCCACCCCGCCCGCCCAAACAAGGCAGGGCGGGCTGAGATATCTAGCCCATCTTTGAAGGCGGGGCGGGCCAACCCGCTTTTTGGCGGGCTAGGGCGGGGCGGGCAGCCCGCTTTGCCACCTCTAGTTCATATAATGAAAGTTTCAATATTTCTTTAAATTGATATTATTTCATTGATGTAAAAAAAAAATTAGTTTGAGGGTTTTAGCTCACCTATTGTTTTTCTTCTATTTTATGTTGTTTTTATACAAAAATCATACATTTTTGTGCCAAGAAAAATCGCAACCCATAGTTTGAAAATTCATTTTTTAAACTTCTAAAAGCTCTCAAAAATCTGTTCTTTTTGAAATGGATTATATTAGAATTTTGTTGGTTGGTTGTTTCTGGGTTGTTTTGTGATAAAGATCGCTCAAAAAAAAAATTTAGCTTCGTTTTTTAGCTTTGATGAAGCTCTCATGGAGGAACCTTATTTCAAGCGGGTCAACCCGCGCCAAAGGAAGAAAAAGACACTGTAATAGAAAAAATCATATTTATATTTCTCACTAAAAAGTCTCACGAAATCTACATCAATAGAAAATTCATTAAAATCATCAGATTTTTGAATACCACAAGATTGTTTTTCCTTTGTTTAAAATCCTGATTGAATACCAACGGATTTGGACGGATTCTAAAATGATCTTTTAAAATCTTAATCGAATATCACGTAACTTTTTTTCAATCCTTTAAAATCCTAATTGGATACCAATGATTTTTTTTTGTCAAAAATAATTCATTAAAATCCTTTGAAATCTCAATCCAATACCGCCCTTAGAGTTTAGTTTGGTGCGTTTTCATAATTATTTTACGTAAGTAATTTTGGTGATAATTTTTTTAAAAATTGTAAAAATTTTAATATCAACAAAATGATTACTTTTATAATAATAGACTAATTCTTCTTAGTATTTATATTATTTTGAAAAGTACATCAAACTTCAAAAACGAGTAATGCGGTTTTAATTACGAGAAGACCATCTTTTTCTAGAAGTGGGAAAAACATTTTGTAATTGGATATAATGAATAACTTAGATTTTGTTGAAAATATTGCTTGAATTTGTACTGGGAATTAGTTTCTTCAGTAAGAAACCAATTGCTAAAGATTTTTGTTTTATTTTCTATTCCTTCTCCATTTTCTCAATTAATTGTTATCATTTAACCGTAAAATTTATCAAATTTTGGCAGCTTAGAGTTCCTGTGGAAGGGATAAAATTTTATTCCTCACTTATTCCCTCCACTAAAATTATAATATATGAATTTAAATGACATTGGAACCAAGAAAATGGATATATATTTTAAGTTTGTGTTTAATATTTTTTATATTATAAGAAATAAAATTATTTCTGCATGTATAAAAGTATATGTGACTTATGTTTTCTTTTCTTTTTTCTCTTTTATCATATAAATTTCATATATATATATATAAGAGATAATTTGATTTCTTACTAAATTCATTAATTTAAGTGAATATAGTATATGCTAAAGCAGTACTAAAAGTTTTTCCATCGACTCCACGTTTGTCATCGTCCCTGCCACTATCATTGGCATCGTTTCTGTCGACGATGTTGTCTTCATTGCCAACCTCGTCTTTGTGTCACATGCGAAGGAGAGATGAGGTTTAGAGGAATTTTAAAGTACCTAAGGAGAATATTACTTCTGCAATTTTAACTTGATAATGCAAATTATAGGTTATTTAAATTAAGGGGTAAGATACTGTAACAATCAACTTATGTCAGTGGTAAGGCTTTAACTTTAATTAATTCCTATGCATATATTTAATGTGAATATTACTTCGTTGCCTTGCTATTGATTCCTATGTTTTATCAAAATGGGAAACTTTTGATTAATGCTTTTCCATTGCAGCAACCGTTGCTGCTTGCATGAAAGGTTTTAAGGAATGGGGTAGTAATGAAGACATTAAATATGAAAAATCATAACCATACAAAGGTGAAAATAAATATTAAATATTAAATATGAAAAATCATAATCATACTAGATAGAAATAAATATAACCGTTGGATCAACATAATCGATCTAACGGTGAAATTGATTGATAGTAACATTGATAGTAACATTAATTGATTGTTATAATATCTTTTTCCTTAAGTTAATTTGCTAATTTATTTTTATTTATTTAAACTGGACCAAATTAAACCAAGTTAAGTGAAGTTAAAGTCCTTTTTAACTTTAATTTTATTAATTTAATTTATATATCGAGTTATTCTAATTAACATATAAAACATTACTGTTTTGATACCCATCCCCAGGAGACCTTATAATATCATACTTGTTAATTATTTTTACAGCATAGCAAAATCATTTTAATTCCAGAAATTATGCTCCCTTAAATGTTACCTTGTTCCAAATGTGAGAGTATTGTTGCAATTGCTTAAAAAAAATAACTTTGTCTAATAAAGCGCATATTTCGTTTTTCTTGACAGTAGCTCTATAAATTAATTATATTAAAATATAGATAATGCACTCAATTTGTGATAACATCCACCCTCATTTCCTTAAAATTTGAATGGGGAAAAGAATTCTCAAATTATAGAAAAAAAAAATTCTCCTACTAATAAAATATCAAATTATGCGTAATAATTTTTTTATTTTTAATAAATTGTGTGACTTGTAGAAAAAAGATTCCAATTTGAGTTGATTCGGAATATACGCTGCCAGCCTGCACTCTCATTTTTTAATTGTATTTAATTCCGAACCTAACACATAATAATCATTTAATTCTGACTCCAAAAAACCTTTTCATGATTCGGAACCCGTACTCGTTCACAACTCCTTACGTTGCCTTTCATAATCATAAAAGCCTTGCTATTGATTCCTATGTTTTATTAAAATGAAAAAAAATAGATTATAATAATTTTATTTATTTTATCCATTATTTATGTACATTCAAAAAAAAATTACAGATTTTCCAGTTTTTGTGTATTAGTTATTAAATAATTAATTACACATAAAATTATCCTATAATAAATTAAGGGATTTACTATTTTATTTTGGAAAATTATTCCAAGGATATCTCCCAGCCAAAAGTCAAGGACTAAACCCCTCGAGACGGAGAGATCATGCTATCGTGGTACAGTCTCTCCTAACAAAGCATTTTCTATACACACGGTTAGAGATCGAATCCCTGTCAGCATGCTTAAAAAACCCAGCTATCTATCAACTGTGTCAGGCTTTGTTTCAAGGGTATTTACTAATCTCATATTACATAAAATAGTACTCTTATGTGGGTGATATAAATATGTGGGGTCTACAATTTAAAAAAAAAAATGACATGAAATTCTATGAGTGTATGACATAAGATAACTCTCTTATGTCACATGAGGCTATTTTTTTCCCATAAAATAATCGTATTGTACTATTGTATTGCAAGTCTCCCATAAATAGGAATGTAAATAAGCTGAACCTCGGATTAGATTTTGGCTTAAATAAGTTAGATATGAGTAAAATATTTTAGGCCTGACTTAGTCTATTAGTTTTGTGTAGTCCAAATTATAAGCCTAACTTGGCCAGTGGCCAATATTTAAAAAATAAAAGTCTTGGCCTAGGCCTATTAGTCTATTTAAGCT